GAGGTTGCTGTGAACTGTGATGCCACGGCACTCTACCTGTTATGGGGAGAGATAAGGACCACCGACTCAAATTAGAAGTTCAAAAAAAAGGAGTCTTTTGTTAACCGTGGGGCTGTCTCAGCATAGTCTAAAGCAGACTAAGTGAGAGAGCATTGAGGGGTCTGAAGTTGAGGTTTTTCTTGTCTGAAAAAGTTGGGGGTTTTCTAGTCTGAAAGTTGGCAATTAGAAGCAAAAAGTGAGCACAGGGTCACGGTGACCCCTTTTACGGAAGCAAACCTTGCAATTTAGCAGATTAGCAGATAGGTGACATAAGGGTCACATAAAGCAAATCTGGCAATTAGCAAATAAGTAAAACAGTTTGTCGCAGCAGTTAGCATGTTAACTCTCATCCTGACAGTACTTGGCTCTTTAGTTCTTATCTTGTTCTGTTCGGCCCGATCAGGACCGATCTGAGAGTAATCTTCCTGTCATCCTTTCAGAGTTGTCATTCTCATCTTTTGTCCTTTTCATCTTTTATCCTCCACAGCCCCCTGGTGCACGTCGGTGGGAGGCAGTATCCATCTTATGGGGGTGATGAGGCTGCTGGCACCCGTTTCATTCCAATCCTTACCAGTTATACAATGATTTCTATTTAAACGAATAATAATAAATAAATGAGTAGGCCATAGGCTGTGCTTTGACAATTTGTCCCCTGTGAAACCCATATTGAAACTTAATCCCCAAAGTGACAGTATTAAGAGGTAGGGCCTTTAAGAGTGGATTGGGTCATAAGGACACTGACCTTGTGAATGATAGATTCATTCATGGATTTATGGGTTAATGGAGTCATGATTTATTATGGGCTTTATAAGCAGAAGAAAGACCTGGGCTGGCATGTCAGCGTGCTCAGCCCTCTTACTGTGAAGTGCCCTGTGCTGCCTCGGGGCTCTTCAGAGAGTCGTCAGTAGCAAGAAGGCTCTTCCCAGATGCAGCCTCTCAACCTTGGACTTCTCAACCTCCATAACTGTAAGAAATCAATTTATTTTTTTATAAATTACTTAATTTCAGGTATTATAAGCAACAGAAAATGGACTGAGACACCATATTTATAATCAAATACAAGAAATAATTTTAAATTCACTTTCAGTAACTATATATGGAACAGAGAGGGTCACACGTCATCAGTCTCTGTCTGGGTTCCTTTTAGTCTCATTTACGTAATTACTTCAGGTAAAGGCATCCCTAGCAGTCACTGTCAGCCCCAGCCAAGTCACGTCCTCAGTCATGTTCAAAACTGCTGCACTTTGCTTTTACAGACTCATTCTAAGCTGCCATCTTTCAGTAGCTTCAATTAAAATGCCACCACGAGAATTACTGAACTCATCCCTTCTGCTAATACATCCCAATTAAATTGGCATATTCACGTCTGAGTTAGCAGTTCTGCTGGAGCCGCAGGCACCCTGAATCACAAGGCCTTCCGCATGGAGACCTATTTATGTGCAGTCTAAGTGGCTGTGCCTGTAAGCAGCCGTAGACATTTTTCATAGATGGAATGTAATAAAAATAATACAACAAACTTAGCCACTGAACCAGTACTATAAAAATGTTTAGGAGTCGAGGCTTTTCACCGATGGGTACTCTGTGCTGCCTTTGATCTTTTGAGGTGCCAGTTGTCCTGGTCCATATTCCCTTTATTTACCTAACTTGCACGTTCTGATGTTGGTTTCTGTGTTCCTCTTAGAACCCTTGGTTGCATCAGCTCATTTCAGTGCTCAGCTGAATTTATCATTATTTTTTGTTTTGTGCTAAATCTTATTTATTTCTCCTTCCAATCAATTGCTCCTCTATCCAGTCATTCCTCATCTTTTAGGCTCTTTCTTCCAGGCTTTCCTCAGTGACTGACTTATCTTTTGTGCCTACCCACCACTTGCCTTTTCCATGGAGCTCTGCACCTTTAGAGTTGACTGCCCCCTCAGTGGGAAAACCTTTCTTGTCACCCGATGACCTCCATCTCCAAACCTGCTAGCTCATAATTAATCCATATATATCTGATTTGGAATATTCTATTTCCCTTTCTTTCTGAGCAGAGAACTGGTAACATTTGCTTCTCTGTCTACTGTTTCAGAGGAAGACCCCAAAAACATAAATGTGAAGTCAGCTTCGAGGCAAAAGACCTCTTCCGGCATAGAACTGCATTATGATGTTTCCGACGCCCTTCGTGCAGACGCTCCCCAGAGCTCTACATCCAGGGAAGCCTGCGAACAAGACGGCAGGTTGGAAAGAAGACAGAGAAACCCCCCTCAGAAAAAACAACACAAGTGTGATGAGTGTGGAAAAATCTTTAGCCAGAACTCAGCCCTTACTTTACATCGGAGAATCCACAGTGGAGAGAAGCCGTATGCCTGTGACCAGTGTGCAAAGGCCTTCAGCCGAAGCGCAAATCTGATTCAGCATCGAAGAATCCACACCGGGGAAAAACCCTACAAGTGTCATGAATGTGGCAAAGCCTTTAGTCAGAGCTCGAATCTTTTTAGACATAGGAAAAGACATATTAGAGAAAAAGTCCCATCAGTGTTATGAGGGCATCAAAGCATTGACACAGCTTTCTTAGCACGAGAGAAGAGAGAAGGCCAAAACACGTCTTTAATGCAAATCTGTGGTTTTAATGGTCACTAGTCTCCCTTCTAGGGTCATAAAGCCACAGGAGAAAATGTAGACTATCTCATGTCAGTGTCCTTTGCTTTTCTGCTTCTCCATGCGATATCATTCATATGTTTGAGATTCCAAAGCTTAATTCAGATTTCTATCCCCAAGCAGCGCTTGGAAAGACATTCTCAGACATGTGCTACTATTTCCAACATTAATACAAATGAGAAACCAGTATATTTCCTTTTAGGCAAGTATATTTTTTCCCGTTGAGAAGGAATGTGTGAGTTACTCAGTATAAAAGTAAGTATTTTTCATTTCATAACTTGAGCACTACAATTCTAATGGCCAAAGATTAAGGTATTTAAAAACAAATTCCTGGCCAGGTGTGGTGGCTCATGCCTGTAATCCTAATACTCTGGGAGCCTGAAGCAGGAGGATAGCTTCAGGTCAGGAATTCAAGACCAGCCTGAGTAAGAATGAGTCCTTGTCTCTACTAAAAATAGAAAAATCAGCCAAACGCAGTGGCTCAAACCTGTAGTTCCACTGACTTGGGAGGCTGAGACAGGACGATCTCTGGAGCCCAGGAGTTCAAGGTTGCTGTGATCCCCGTTCTAGCCAGGGCATAAAATAATGCTATATTGTCTTGTATTACCAGATTCAAAATTTGAGAATAAGATTGAGGATGCACACAAGGCTATGTACCTCAAGACCTAGGCTAAAAATTCCAGGGTAGTTGTTAGAAGGTAGGTAAATAAAAGGACTGAATCTCTTACAAAAGCTCACAAGCGCCTACATACCACTGGTGATACTATGTTGGAAAAAATAATATTTACAATGTAATTTGGAAAGAACTCAATAGAAACAGATGACTTTTTACACATCTTCAAGGAGTTACCTAAACATAAGGAATGCTTTTATTATAAACAAGGCTGTTCTATGGGTCCTTATATAAGGTTAATGATCGTTTTAATATAAACAAAAAAGGGAGATGAAAAACAAAATTGTCCAAACAAGACTGATGTAACACAAATGTTGGCAAGGGTCAAGTATAATGGAGTCGTGTGCCACAGCTTACTTGGGCAGCTCATAACTGCCCTAAAATGTTCTCTTTTCTGGCATAAGCCAGCTGTGAATCTCTTTCAGGCATCATTAAGACAGCCTTTGCAGGGTCTTGTGCTTTCTCAGATGAATTTTTGGATATACTGTCATGAAATGAGATTTTCATTTTGATGTTCTTAGACAACTGAAATCAATTCAGTCTGAGGGATCCACTGCAGTCCCTTATAAACTATTGTTGAACCTAAATTAAAGCTTACACATTTTAAGACAACATTTCTATCATATCTTACTTGCTTTGGGTCTATGGGATAGGAATAGCTAGAAGTTACACTTGTATTTAATTCATTCACATTCCCTGATTAAAAATAAAATGACTGTACTGACTTGGTATTAAAATTATTCTAACCATACAAACAACATAATGGTATCTTTTCTAGAGATTCTTATACAACTCTGTAATGTATTATAAGAATACTCACAAAGAAGATTATATTTTCCATGGTGCTACAGTTATCCAGTCTGGAGGCAAAAATCAGAAGTGAGTCCTTGGAAGAAGAGAAGAGGCCCCTAGTCAACTTCTTTGTCATAAAGTGTAGACATTTCATTCTCAGAAAATCCAACTGTATCTGGTGCTTAGAGTAACTCCAGAAAATGGAATTACTTTTCTCTCTTAGTATATCGATACAAGATTAGTAGGGGAAGAAATGAATGCAAATTTTATTATACTATTTTCTGATGGTGATTATGCTTTGTAGCTCTAGAGAATAGGAATGTATATTGGGTTTTATGTATTTTTGGCTATTAAAAATGTAGAAGTTCTTTAATTTGGGGCTCATAGTGTTTGTATTTAAAGAGGAATAAGCCATCTATTAAAGCAACAAATGCCTCAAAGACGTATTGTGAATTACTGTCTCATTGTAAAAAGAGTTACTTAGGTCCTATGTAAATAAGATGCCAGAATTTAGTATTCTTGGGGAAGCCATTTGTTTTCATTTGATGCTGCCATAAATTTTGTAAGATTAAATTCTCTTTATTGTGAATAATTTGAACTTCACCACCAGAAAGTGGTATGAATCATATCATCTAAGAACTTGATAAGTTTTTAAAGGCTGTTGCTTTGGACTTTGAGTTATTTGGCACTTACATAGGTCTCCTAATGAGAAGATGGTACTAGTTTATCTAAAGGATAAATACTGTGACCTGGCCCAGTATTTGATAAAAAATATATATATATAGCATAATATCAGCACCCCTCATTATTGATTAATTTCCAGGGATAGTAAATACTCCAAAATGACATTGTTTAAATTCTTCATGAATTTAACTTCATCTGGGCCTTCACCATTATCAATCTATTTTCTCTCTTTACCTCTCTCTTGGTCTCTTTGAAGACCAATCAAATGTCTTTAAACCTTGCTGTATTAGTAACGAAAGCTTCCAGATGCAAAATGCATCTCTGAGGCGGGTTGCAATGGCTCACGCCTGTAATCCTAGCACTCTTGACAGGCCAAGACAGGTGGATTGCTTGAGCTCAAGAGTTGGAGACCAGCCTAAGCAAAAGCAAGACCCTGTTTCTAAAATAACAGCCAGGCATTGTGAGGGGGTACCTATAGTCCCAGCTACTTGGGAGGCTGAGGCAAGATCACTTGAGCCCAAGAGTTTGAGGTTGCTGTGAGCCATAATGCCATGGCACTCTACCAAGGACAACAAAGTAAGCTTGTCTCAAAAATCCTGGCTTAAACAAGGAGACGTTTGCAACATGAAATCTGGAAGGCAAGTTGCTTCTGGCTCTCAGTCAGCATCTGGGTGATGACTGATCTGGCTTGCATCTCTGTTCTAACCTCTCATTCAGGCTAACTTTCTCAAATTTTCAAGAGCTGTCCCAGCTCCAGGAACTACATCTAGGTTTAAGTGAGCAATAAAGAGAAAGAAGGGGCACTAGCCATGCCTGTCCCATTTACTAGGAAAAGCAAAAGCTTGTGTTTCTTTGTTGCACGTGTGTCTCTAGAGAGAAAGCAGTAGGGACTCTGGGGCTTGGGGACCACAGAGGGTTAGCTAACAGTGTTTGCCAACATTACTCCTTTGCTACTTTCTTCTTTGTGGGCAGACAACTGTGTTTTTTCTTCCAGTATTATATTGAAAAGATGAAAACTCTCACAACGTCCTGCCTAAGTCTGCAAGCTCACCTATACTTTACCTATCCTTTCCTCTCCCTCTTTGACCCTCACCATTCCTTCCCACCTGTGAAGTGCCTTGGCTGCAGCCGTCGTTCTCCTGTCTCCTGATTGTTCACCATCCGTCTTTATCCCTTCAACACGTCAGTGTGCTCCTGTGGCCCATCCTCCAACCCTACTCTTGCAGCATATCTGGGCAAATGCCTGAGTGGAGAGAAGCATTTGGCCCTTCACTTTGTCCTCTTCATTTGCATTCATCTCTTTCACCCAGAGTAAAATTTTCTAAAGCCTCAACTTTGTTATGCCCCCTTCTTGCCTAACACAGAGGCTTCCCGTTGCTTTTAGGATAAAGTCAGAGCTCCTAAACAAGATTTTCAAGGCTCTTCATGATCTGACCACTCCTGGTTCATCTCTTGCCACCACCTCCTTTATACCCTGTGTTGCAGCCTTGTTAAATTGTCAGAAGTGCTCCTGCCCCTGGGCTTTTGTGTGTGCTCCTTTTGAGCTCTTGTCCACCTCCCACACACTATCTAACTCCTCGGTATGCTTCAGGTGGGTGCCCCTTCCAGGAAGCCTTCTCTAACACCCCAAGAATAGGTTGAGGACGCCCAACACTCTTCTCTTGATTCCATAGCAGTTTGTTCTTAACCTTGGCGTGGCATTTATCACATGGAATAAAATATTTTTAAAATAATAATCAACTGCAAATATGGTCTCAAGGAAGAGGAGAATGAGTGACACCCTGGGAAGGAATAAGTCATGAGGCAACAAAAGGGGACATTTTAACAGCCCATCTAGTCCTGGCAATGGTGAGACAATGAGAGGGTCAGACACAGGGTGACCTTTCACGTCTGTACGCCATGTGCTATGGAAGTTGTGGAGGGGGTTGGAGAAGAACTTGAAAGGGGGGACGCCTGTGCCCCCTGCCACTGAGTGCGTCGGGAGGACGATTGTTGAATAGGCTGTGGTGCTCCAAACTGGCCTATTGTAAAAAAAAATGGCAATGCAGTGTCAGGCAAAGAGCTTCTATCAGCTAACAGGTGGCTTCACAAATGCATGGCAGTTGTCCATGTTTGATGGGGATCTTGGCAAATAGCTATCTATCAGGCTGGAGACTTGGGAGAACTGTGCAAAGTTAACCATGTGAATACTACAGCTAAGGGTTGCGGGATCTACCAGGCCAGTATCACCTGTAAGTCTCAGCCAGGTCCCAGAGGGGACCTATAGCTCTTCCTAGAAGCAAAGTGGAGGCAAATCTCCAAGGAAGGAAAACAGGTTCCTGCCAGCCAATAGAACAGATCTTTCCTTGCTGTACGTTTGGTGAGGAAGCGTCACAGCAACCAGCTGCTAAGAAGAGAAACCAGGGACCAGACAGCAAACCCATCTACTGGCCAATCCACAACACTGCCTCACCACAGGGGATGTCAGCGCCCTTGCCCAAACACCCTGCTGGCAGAAAAGGACAGAGGGAGAAATAGCTATGCTAGGGAGCTCAACTTAACATGGACTGAGTAATTCAATTTAATAATTAACAACTTAATTCAATTCTTGCAGCACCCACTCACCCAAGGGCGTAGAGATTCAAGAAACAAAAACATATCAATTATAAAAATAAGTTACATTTTCCTTTGCATATTTAAGAACATGATAGCTTTTTACCACCCTAGATGGACACTATATCTGTTTCTGTATAGGTTCCACTCATACTTCCTGGGAGTATGAGCTGCCTCATTCTCCACCTTTTCTCAAGCATTTGGCACAGTACATGGCCTATAATAGTCACTTGAATGCTTG